TCTCTACCTCTCTGCTTCACCCACACTGGGCCCCTTCCTGACGCTAGAGCTTGCTATGCGCTCTCCCAGCTCAGGGCCTGTGCACTTGCTCTTCCATCTGCCTCTACAAAACACTCGTATTCCAGGTATCTTCAGTGCTTCGTCCCTCAATTCCTTCAGGTCTCTGCTCAAAGGTCCTCTCATCAGAGACGCCATCCCTGACCACTTTCTATAAAACAGATCCCTATTATGATCAATTCCTCTGACCTGCTTTGCTTTCCTTCCAAGCACTTATCACCATCTAAGTCAGCGGTTTTCAACCTGTGGGCGCGCGACCCCTTTGGCGGTCGAACGACCCTTTCACAGGGGTCGCCTAAGACCGTCCTGCATATCAGATATTTACATGATGATTCATCACAGTAGCAACAGTACAGTTATGAAGTAGCAACGACAATAATTTTATGGTTGGGTCACAACATGAGGAACTGTATTTAAAGGGCCAGAAGGTTGAGAACCACTGATCTAAGTTATTATGTCCTTCCTGATTGATTTATTGTTTGTTTTCCCGAACTAGGAATGCAAGCAGGACCAGGGTGGGGACTTTGTTCTATTCAATAGTGAATCTCAATGTGAGGATCAAAGCCTGGTATATAGTGCCACTTAAGACATCTTGGTTGAATGAATGAGTGTGTATTTTTAGTGGCTTAAGAAAAGATCTGACTAAATCTTAATATTTGTGATCTTAAAAGACATTTTATATAGCCAAGTGGAAACAAACATATGCATTTATAAAACTAAAGAGTAAAAGTTTAATTTCAGAGTTTCACCCCATCATTTAAGAGGTTATTCACATGAGATGCCTATATTAGGTGTTTTCTGTTTCCTTTCTAGAATAATGGCCAGATTCCTTAAGAAAAAGCACACAAAATGACTAAAAGTAATTGTCCTTGGCAAAAGTAGGGGTGGGTAAAGAGAAGGGGGCTTGATATACCATGACCTGATAAATATACTAGTGTACTTTCTTTTAGTAACTTACCAGGTATTGCCTTATTTAAAACTATGTCTGTTGAGTTCAACATCACTAATCATTGGAAAAATGCAAATTAAAACCACAATGAGGTATGACCTCACACCTGTCAGAATAGCTATCATTAATAAATCAACAAACAACAAGTGTTGGTAAGGATGTGGAGAAAAGGGAATTCCTGCACTGTTGGTGGGATTGTAAATTGGTTTATCCACTATGGAAAAGAATTCGGAGGTTCCTCAAAAAAATTAAAAATAGAACTACCATATGACCCTTCAATTCCACTTCTGGTCCTTTATCCAAAGAAACCCAAAACACTAATTTGAAAAGACATATGCACTTCCTATGTTTTGTTGCAATGAAATATTATTCAGCCACAAAAAAAGAATGAAATCTTGCCAAGTACAACAGCATGGATGGACCTAGAGGGAATTATGCTAATAAAATAAGTCAGACAGAGAAAGAAAAATACCAAACAATTTCACTTATATGTGGAATCTACAAAACAAAATAAACAAACAAAACAGAAATAGACTCATAGATACAGAGAACAAACAGATGGAAGGGAGTTTGGAGGATGGGTGAAAAAGGGAAGGGATTAAGATGTGCAAATTGCCAGTTATAAAAATAGTCATGGGGATATAAAGTAGAGCATGGAGAATATAGTCAGTAATATTATAATAAGTATGTATGGTGTCAGGTGAGTACTGGACTTACTGGGGTGATCACTTTGTAAGTTACATAAATATCTGATCGCTATGTTGTATACCTGAAACTAAAATATTGTATGTCAACTATAATTAAAAATTCAAAAAAATTTTTTAAAAATTATGTTTGTCCATGTCTCACTTTCTACCGTATAAGCTTCTTATGTATATGGCCCATCTTACACATCTTTTTATTCTCCTATAATTTCTATCTGAATGTGTTGCAAATAGTAGATAATCAGAAAACATTTATGTAATGAAAAATAGCTATAGGTATCAAATTATATATATGTGTGTGCATATATATATATATATATATATATGCACACACACACACACACATACATACTCTCTGATTATATATCTTATATATGGTAGTGAAATAAGTTTCTAAATTATCATTGCCTTGCTAGAACACACTTGTTGACAAAAGTGATAAATCTTCATAAAATCTAAGAAAGGGGAACAGAGAATTTTGAAATATGTCCCAAGACAAACTGTGCTAAAAAGACTTTACTTTAATTAGCGACAGCTTCATTGCAGGACATGAAAAGCAGGACCTTTCCATCTGAAAAGTCCACAACTGTAAAAAAAAAATAAAAATGATGCAACTACTTCAATCTAGACGTGCCAACTGAAATGATCTTCGTACGCTATCCAAAAAATTACCTATACTCTGATAGGTTTATGGAAAAATATCCAGTGTGTACTCCTTTAGGTTACTTTCAGAAAAGACAGACAGGCCTCCTAGGCAGATGTACCAGGAAGCTGACAAAGAGCAAGCTTCCAACCCTCCCTTGCCAGGAGAAAGACCCAGCAACAGCTCAAGGATTCTTCTCCTTAAGAGTCCACACCCCACCCCGCCTGACATCCACAGCTGCATAAGCTTCAGGTACATAAAACCTGGACCCATGCCTGCCAGTCCTCCATTAGATTATGAATATTAAGAAAACTAGGCTATCGTTTGCAAAAAGGAACCAAAATTCATTTACTAATTTCCAGCATCTCTCTCAATAGTCCCAGCAGAGTGAGGCAAGTGGGGGTCTAAAGGTGCTTCTCTTTGCAGCAATCAATTGCGATTTTGTTTTTCCCACCCAGGATGCAAAGTTGACTCTTGGAAACCATAAATAGATAAAAGATAAATAGATTTTCATTAAATGTGTACATATGTAATCCTCGGTAGTTATTACTCATAAAAATCAAGTAATGCATGGTAGTGAAACCAGACCGCTAGCGTTTAGAACTTAATTTCAATACTAACCAAAGTGTCCTTCGTGGTGCTAAGTGTAACAGGTGACAATAAATCCCACCCGTCTTCATTCCTAAGTCGTCCCAGTGGTGGTGTATCACAAAACTAAGCGGTGCAACCAGAAGTTAATTGTGTGATTTAATCAAGGAATTACAATAAGTCGTATCCGGTATTCCCTAGATTAGGAACCATTTTTGACACAAAGATCAAACCAAACCAAAAACCCTGCTGTCATCTCGGCATTTGGCTACTGACGTTTTCAAAATCGAGTACGTAGTGATTTCTTAAAAGCCACAGAGAGAATTTGGGGTGTACGGGAGGGTATCCATACAATCATAGCCCTTCCTATCCCCACCCCTCCGTGTAGGACGCACTAAACTTTTCGTTGGTAGATAAAGTGGTACCAATACCTGGTAAATTTTTTAAGTATGGCAGCATGTGTTATTAGCTGTGCTTACTCTACCAATGGCTTTGCTTTGAAATGCCCTCCCCCCCATCTCCACCAAAGGCGTCCTGACGTGGGGGCGCGATGGGGGACAGACAAGTTGCAGACGACCCATTCCCTCTGCCCGCCCCGAGTCCCTCCATCTGGGAATGGTCCCCGGCCACTTCTCCAAGGAGGGGCGCCGGCGGCCCGCGGCCTGCCCTTCCCTGGAGGAGACACCCTTCGTCAGGTTTCCTTGGGGGAACCGGGCCATCGGGGTAAAGCCACGATGGGAAGCAAAAATGTGGCCACTGCGCACTTGCACTAAGATGCAGCCGGTGCCCAGCCCTGGACGGGCCCCAGCGGAGGGGGAAGGGAGCGTCGCCACCGAATCCCAAGAAAGGCCGCGGGACCCACCTCCGGCTCCCTCCCGCTCCCGCCCTCGGCCCCACCCCCCTTCCAGCACAAAGCCGCCCCGAAGGCAGGGGCCCGGCCTGCTGGGAGGCCGCCTGGACGCGGCTGGACTCGGCAACCCGCGTCTCGGGCCGCGCAGGCCGCCGATCGCCGGCGAGGCTAGAGTTCCCGGCCCGGACGTGAGGGACGCGCTCCCCGGATCGCCCTCCGAGGCGCGGGAAACCGGCCCCGCGGCCCAGGCCCCCAGCCTTTCCGTCCGCGAGGCCCCGGGAAGGCCCGGCGCAGCCCACGCATCCCGCTAGCCACGCCCGAGGTGGCGGCCTCCAGCGTGGAGAGCCGGGCCGGCCGGTGGCGGCGGGGTCGCGGGCCGCAGGGGCGCGCCAAAGGACGTGGGGGCGCGGGGGTTGGGTGGGGAGGGATCGACAAGTTGCAGGCGACCCTTTGCGTCCCCCCCGAGATGCCTCAAATCAGTTCCCCTCGTTTCCCAAAGGCCCTGTCCTCGCACACCTTCCTGAACTCGCCAAACAATACGGGGGCGCCCGGGGAGGGGCTGGGCAGGGCGCAGGGACGGCGCCGCGCTGCCCCCGGGACCCTGGGCGCCCCCTCGCCTAGCCGCCCGTCGGGGGCGCGCACACGCACACCCTCGGCCCCAGTGCGGGAAGGGGAAGATGGCCGTTTCTGCTTCAGTATAAAGGCTCTTTGTTGCGCTCACACAAAAGCCGCCAAGACCCGCTTTTGCAGCAGGCCCTTGGGGCGAATCGAAGGAACCCAGCTGAGGTTCCAAATGGCCGGAGAAGCCTGCAGCGGTGGGAGCAACTCAGGAGAGGGGAAGAGCAGGCCTCCCGCCCTCGGCTACCCCAACCTCTGTCACTACCCAAGTGCTCGTCGGGGAGCCGGGGGTGGAGGTCCTTCGTCAGGGAGGAAGGGAGGAAAGAAGAAAACCTACTTTCACCATCAAGGCCCAAAGCGGGTATTAAACATTCACATTCTTGTAGGGTTTCTCCCCTTAACCAGGGTAGAAACTTAATCTGAAAAAAAAAAAAAAAAAAGGTCTGGACACACCAAAAAGAAAAAAAAGAAAGAAAAAAAAAATACCAACAATAGCAACTTAAAAAAAAAAAAAAAAGCAAAAACATAACAAACCAGTTGCCATCAGCCCAAAGTGGTAGTAGCAGCAGCCGGCGCGTGTGATCCACTTACTTGTCCGACTCTTGTGACATGTTTGATCCAATGAACTCGCTCCCCTTTTCCTGGAGCCTCAGCCTCTGGTGAAACTGGACTTTCAAGTCTGTGCAGGTGAAGGTGTGTGAGAGCGCCCGAGATGGCAGAACAAGAGCTACAGGTAATTCTGCTTTTCCGTCCCCCCGCACCACGCTCGCTCGCTCGCCCGCTCGCGCCCTCACCTAGCCGGAAAGGTGGGATAAGGGGGGGCCCCTCACATGGGGCCCGCGCTCGGAGGCGGCCGGGCGGCGCGGGGTCCTCCGGGATCGTGGCAATGGGCAGTCACCGAGCCGAAAGTGGCGGACCGGGTCGGCCACAGGTAACTTTCTCGCAAGGAGCTGAATTCTTTTACTAAAGGGTACAAGCCCGAGGGACGAGCTGCGCGGTGATTGGCTGCGGGGCGGCCTCAGGTGAGCTGCCATTGGCAGAGGCGCGCTCAGGTAAGGCCCTTCTCCAAGTGCAGGTAACTCACTCCGAAGTTTACCCGAGTGGAGCGGCGGCACGTTCGCGGCGCGGCGGCAGCCCGTGGGAGCCGAGGGTCAGTGCTTCGTGTAGACATCACGCTACGTTTTCCTCCTTCCCGCGGGCCGGCCGGGGGTGTGGCGGGGGCGGGGGCCGGGATGGGGCGGGGGGGAGGCTTGGAGAAGAGAAGGAACTAGGAAAAAAAAAAAAAGCAACACCTGCAACCACTAGGGATTATGGGTGGAACGGAAGGACTAAGGAGAGCTGAACTCGGGATCCCCAGCCAACCGGAATCCAAGGCGCAGCGCAACCACCGGCCTTTTTCGGGCCCACAATTGAGAGGACTGTTCGACGGTTTCCGAAGAGTTTGAAGTTTACTTTGCTTTGCTCAGAGGAGGGGAAAACACAACGATTGCCGGGTTTGTTGCGTGATTTCATTTGTAACATACCCACAACCAGCACTTTTCGTGCCCCAATTTGGTGTAAAATATGCCCAGTAGATTACAGCTTTTCTAAGAGGTGAGCATCCTTTCGTGAGCTGGGCAGATAGATGATCTCGGTGGGGTGAGGAGATTTGGTTGAACAGACCATAAATTGGCCCCTGGCGCACCTTTTTTCATCTCACCTCTGCAGCTTGGGATTCCAGAGCTGCAAACAACCACTGTTCCATAAGCCTGTTGTCTTTTGACGTTTCCAGGCAGACATCAACATTGACATTGTAATTCAATAGAAGCTGTGACTACAAAGGTGCTTTATCCTTCCAGGTTAATATGGTTGCTACGGAAACAATTCAGGATGAAGCTGACTTTTTTTTTTTGTGGTTCTGCTTCACTTGGTTGGAAACAACTCCAACTAGCAAAGGTGCAATTCATTTATAATCACTGCTCCCAAAGTGTGTTTGTGAAAGTTTTTTATAGGGATCTAGCCCATACTTATGAATTGTGGAACTGAAGGGGGATGTGAAAAGCTTACCATATTTTATTCCATGTTACATTGCGAGAGTTTCATACAACTTTTATTTTAATCTTTATGGATCAGATGTTTTCTAAAAATTGCATTGTGAAACAATGTTTGGTTGTTCCGTGTTTTCACCTATGGCAAATGAATTTCAAAAGTTTATGCTTACTTTTTAAAGACATTAGAAGTACACACAGTTTTTAAAGATTATATAATATTTTAAGGTTATATACATTACCCACTTCTTCTTTACCTTCTTAATCACCTTCTGAGAGGCAACCACATTCCACTTGTATCTGTCTCTTTTGTCATTTACCTCCAGACTTATCAATAAATGTCATGGTTATCTCTTGATTGATCTGTTTAGATGTCCCACGTTGACTACCTGTTGCCTCAGATAGAGATGCAGCTTTTTCACACCCACCCAGCTTCCCCTTCTGCCATTCTTCCCACACAGCCCTTTCACAGTTTAGAGGTAGTAAGTAGTTGGTGACTGTGGATACCAGTCAGCGGAGCCAACTGGTGAACTATGGTTGTTTTCCTTCTTATAAAATCTTTTATATATTTACTTTGTTATGCACCCACCTGATATTTTTTCCTACAACATGTTGATCAAATAACTATCAATTTTATTTTCCAAATGATCAAACAATCAATTTTATTCCCCAGCCCCCCACCCCCACAACATCCCTCCAAGTCTTCTGTCCTCCTGTCCAATGGAGATGAGGTTTCTAAATTGAAATTGTTCATTTATAAGTTTGTAGAAATTGCTCTTTTATCTTCTAGCATCCAATGTTGCTGTTGAGAATTTCAATGCTACCCTTATTCCATTCTTTTGTGACCTGCAGTTTTTCTTTCTGGAAACTTTTAGAAGAATTCCTTTAACTCTTATATTCTGAAATTTCATAATTGTGTACTGGGTCAATGGCAAGGATTTGCCTAAGTTCAAATCATGCCTCTACTACATGACCTTGGGCAAGACACTTATTCTTGCTATGCTTCAGTTTCCTAATTTATAACAATAGAATATATATATGTATTTTTACATATATTATAATGGAGGTAATAACAGTAATTTCCTCACTGATATATCTCAGCCACTTAGAATAGTGCCGAAACACATAGTGCGTTCCTTGATTATTGTCCACACATTTCTTTTTTTGAAACTCTTAGTTGGATATTGAATCTTCCAGATTAATTTTAGAATTTTTTCCCTTTCCTTTGGACATCTCTTCATCTTTTGTTCTATTTGGGGGAATAGTTCCTTACTTTACTTTCTAGTGATTATTTTATCTCAGCTAGTCTAAGAACTCTTTTCATGTTTTATGTTATTTTTTAATGTTTTTATTGATTTTTAGAGAGAGAGTAGGGGAGAGAAAGAGAGAGAGAAACAATGTGAGAGAGAAATATTCAATCAGCTGCCTCCTGCACATCCCCCACTGGGGATGGAGCCTGCAACCGGGGCATGTGCCCTGACCCAGAATCGAACCAACAACCTTTTGGTGCACGGAACAATGCCCAACCAACTGAGCCACACCAGCCAGGGTGTTTTATGTTATTTTTAAAATAGATTTCTATGAACATGTTACGGTTGGAATAATTTCTTCTCTCTTTTGAGGACAGTTACTATAGGGTTTTCTGCTTCTTGCCTTCTCTCTGCTTCCTTTTTTCCCCATGTATTTGTTTTTAGTCCCATCATGTTAGAGGCTTTCCTCAAATGCCTGCAAACCTTTGACTATTCATACTTAAGAAGAAAGTCATAAAACCCACCAGAGACTCTATCTATAGGGGGTGAGAAGGAGTGTACCTGCATGTCAGTAGGTTTGACGTATGGTGATCAGGTGAAAGCTGGTCCTTCCATAGGAAGAGCCCCCAAATGTCAGAAATGAGAGGTCTGAACTTTTGGGCTTTTCAATTTCTCAGAAGAAATATCTGTATCTCTTTCCTAAAGGGACATTCACCAGGCTGCCAATATTCTGGAGGAGGTTGAGAGGGAAGGTACATTACTCCTGCCCTTGTTGCTGCCTGCAGTACAAGCGTCTCTAATGTTTCTCCTGCTGGAGCTGTAATCACCTGTCTGCAAGGAGTGGAGTGGGGACCTGAGGATCTAACAACTCCAAATGCCCACATTCACTCAGCCCCCGGCTTCTCATCTCTCCTTCAGTTTTGGAATCCCTGGGCCTCTCAGCAGCACCTCCTTCTGATGGTCTATGGCATCTCCAAGACCCAGGGGATGCTGGGAGTTTATAGGGTAATTGAGCTATTTCTGTACTGACCTCTGCATTAGAGTGTGGCTTCCACTGTTCTGTTAAATCAGTTTCCACTCTTCTATCTGCCCCATCTTCCAGAGTTGTGTTGAAATATATCTTCTGTGGATGACTCTTCTCCATCCTCTTTATTCCTGTGGCTTTATCCTCTTTTCATTACTATAGTTTTCAGGAGACAGTGAAAATAAACAAGTGTAGGTCAATCTGTCATCTTTAATATAAAGCCATTTCCAAAATTATCCAGAAGCTTTTATCAAACTGTGTCAACTTTGATTAGATAGCTTTGTGCCCCCTGACTGGCTACCGACTGCTGTACTGATGGGTTAGGTTGGTGAAGGAGAAGGTCCTCAGGGACCATTTTATTTTATTTTTTTAAAATATATTTTATTGATTTTTTACAGAGAGGAAAGGAGAGAGAGACAGAGACTCAGAAACATCAATAAGAGAGAAACATTGATCAGCTGCCTCCTGCACACTCCCCACTGGGGATGTGCCCGCAACCAAGGTACATGCCCTTGACCGGAATCGAACCCAGGACCCTTGAGTCCGCAGGCCGATGATCTATCCACTGAGCCAAACCGGTTAGCGCCCTCAGGGACCATTTTAAATTGTTACCTTTATTTTAGTTCTTTTGGCAGAAGAATTGTAAATGAATGTGAAAGTTCCTGCCACACCCATCATGAGAGTTTTCTCCGTAAACACCTGTATCCATAAATGCTTAAGCACAGCAGTGGTTCCCAAAGTGCCTGTTTGCCTGTTTGCCCACTACATGTTATCATACACAGGGCTATTCCAGTAGGTCTGCCATCACATTTACTGCGGAGTCAATGATAAGTGGTATCTCATAGGTTGTTTTGCACTGTAAAAACACTAAGTTGTTTAATCACCTATTATCCATAAGAAGACACTTTTGGGAAGAATGAAACATACCTAGATACCTGAATTTGAAATATAATACTGTAGAGATTATAACTTAACCAACTGAGCATTAAGTGGCAGTTCCCTTGCAGTCTGAAGCCACTTCTGTTTTTCGTGGTAGCATGGATATGCATATTTGCATGAACAATTACAGATTTCATGAAGGCTCTTGAACTAGCAGCGTGAAATTCAGCCAGCAGCTAGCTGAAGTTTGCATATTTCCTTCAGGGTAGCACACATTTCTGTTGTTTGGGCTGGCCATGGGGAACTCTTCAACAGAAAGCATGGGCCTGTAAAAACATGGTGCATTGAATGCATGTCTTTATCTTACTTCCTTATTTTTTTAAAAAAATGGTTTTATTGATTTTATAGAGAGGAAGCGAGAGGAGAGAAAGATAGAGACATTAATGATGAGAAAGAATCCTCTATTGGCTGCCTCCTGCATGCCCCCTACTGGGGACTGAGCCCGCAACCCAGGCATGTGCCCCTAGTATGAATCAGACCATGAGCTCCTGGTTCCTGGGTCTACGCTCAACCACTGAGCCACACCAACTGGGCCTTATTTCCCTCTTTTGTTTGTTTGTTTTTGGAGGTATATTTCTTTTATTTTTTTATTGAATTTATTGGGGTGATATTGGTTAATAAAATTATATAGGTTTCAGGTATACAATTCTACAATACACCATTTGTTGATTGCATTGTGTGATTATCACCCCAAGTAAAGTCTCCTTCCATCACATTTATCCCCCCTATACCCGCTTCTACCTCCCTCCACACCCCTTCTCCTCTGTTAATCACCATGCTGTTGCCTGTGTCTATGAGTTTGTTTATTGTTTCTTTTTTGCTTAATCCTTTCCCCGTGATAGAAAAATAAGAGAGGAAATGAGAAGGTTAAAGATGACAACAAAATTTGAAAAGTGCAAACTGACTAAAGGAGTAGAACCGACTTAACCCAGCCAAGACAGGTGAACATGAACATATGTAGGTGCTGAGGACCAGGACTATTTAGCCTGTAAAACCTCATAAAGATATAGAAAGCAAAAATTGGACATGTGCTCTAGGTTAACCAATGGGCATATTATTTAGAAATTTGGAAGTAAAGGCTAGAATTTTATTTTTAAAGAAGATGCAGTAATAAAAAAATAAATAAAATAAATGGTTGCCTCTTAGGAATAGGATTGGAATGTGGGGAAGAATAAAGCATGGATTATTTTTTTCAAATAATGTTAATATTATTTTCAATATTATTACTCAGCATAATTATTTGATTTTTAAAACTATGTATATAGTTTTATATACATATATAGTTTATATACACACAGATATAATTTCAATAGAAATAAAATTCATTCATAAAATAAAAGTACAGATCACAAACACATATGTTCCCTCTTGCCCAGGGTCTTTGCATTTACTCTTCTATCTCCTTAAAACTCTTGCTTTTTTTTTTCTCCTTCTCTAACTGTCTCCTAATCTGCCCTCAGATCAACCTGCTCAGTCATCTGGTTCTCAAGAAAGCCTTTTGGGCTCTCCCAGGTCAGGGACAGGTAAATTGGGAAGATATATTTCTCCATTATCCATTTACATAGCATCATGCTCCTCTTCTTGAAAACACTTATCACAGTTGTAATCTCACATTCATTTGTGTTGTGTTTGATCATTGACCATCCCCTTCCACTAGACTCTAAGCTCCATGAGGACAACAATGATCCCTATTATTGGCTCATCATTATCTCCCTAGTGCTTAACACTATAGGTAGCATTTGGCAAATATTCGATGAGTAAGCAACAAATACTCTGAATCATGAACACCCTTCCCATTCTACAACTTGAAGAACTTTTGAAAGAGACATTATCAAATTGAGCACCTTCATGAACAATGTTGAGTAAATAAATGAATTCTATAAGCATGAATAGAATATTCCAGGTCTCCAATTGGGTTCCTCACTTAAGTTTTGATAGTACTACACGAGATAGGTAATTATAACAGTGAGAATGCTTTCAATAGTGAGCCAAGGAGCAGCCAGCTAGTAGGGCCTTTACTCAAGACTGGTTACTTTTTCTTGCCTGATAAGAAGTCTGGGAACTGGAAAAGGGAGTGGGAATTGCTGACATTTGATTGGCAGCTCCATAACTCAGAGCTCTTTGCACTTTTCTGCCTCTCACAGT